TCTTCATCTCTGTGTACCTTTCCTGGACTTAGTTCCATGATAACACACAATCTCAGCTGCTGCTGAAGGATTGACTGTGAACAACTACCTTTGCTCCCATCCGACATGAGGGAAAGCCATGTTATTATTTGAGGATTATTTGGCTCTATCTCTRAGTCAGGTATGGTAAAGAATTGTTAATAGGCTAGATATCATCATTTCATACTACTACAYACATTTATTTACCTTTCCTGAGGGACTACAAATGATCACAGGTATTCACCCAAGACTGTAGAACAAGTATTACTTGCATACACATTTTTATCCTACCCTTCTTGTGCCAAAAGTACAGTTTTGTATTTCTTAGCGCTGTGAATCAGCAGTCTGCTTTTTGCCATGTTTTGGGAATTTTAAGGGRCCATTAGACAAATTGGTAGAATTAATTAGATGCATGCTCTTCTTGTTACAGGAGCCCCAGAGACATTTTGAATAATATTCTACAGTGTTGTGTCTTTRCCCTGCAAGGTTCAGCAATTTGCTAGAACAGAACAAACTTGGCCAGCTATTTTCTCCAGGATCTGACAAAAATCCTAGAGAACAAAATGTTCCAGTAATCATCTTTTCTTTTCAAGTATCTGTTAGTTTTTAATCTTTTTCTGCCTTTCTTTTGTCAAAAGCACCATATACTGGTTAAAAAAAATAAATTAAAACACACCACCATTGTTYGTGCCTGTATGTTTCATTTCACTTCTGTGCTGAATCACAGTGTTCTGATACAGCCTTTTTTATGGTGTAATTGTTTTGTGTAATCCATTTTCTTTGGGCGCCTCTTAGCTTCTGTCTGAAGCTGTTACTGCTATAATGAAGGTAGTCATAAATCTGTCACAGGTAAGAAGCTAAATTTAGAGCTCAATAAACCAGGGGAGAGTATGCTGTAGATAAGTGAGTGCATTGAGATGCAACAGTTACAACGGTGGCACAAAAAGTCCACTTCTGGCAGGTTAACAAAGGGGGAGCACAGAACATTCGGTTCCCTGAGCCACTGAAACCATCACCCATGTTTTAATTTAAAAGATGCTGTGTGAAAATGTAGGTACAGTCGTGGTACCCCCGGAGAGTTCTGGGGGGTGTTGCTCCATGGGCGGGTGTGCTGTGCTCTCACACCGCACTCTGGGGGTGTAGGGTGGTGTTTCTGTACAGCGTGGGGCTGCACTGCCCTACCACTGACCTAAGGGGATCCCAGTTCCTCCAAAGAGGGTCTGAAATTGGGATTGAGGGCTGTAAGGCAGGACAGGACCCAGTRCCCCTGGAGCTGGACCAAGGAGCCAAAACCCATGGGATCCCCAGCAGCACGATTCCTAAGGCAGTGTGACCCTAAAGAGAACCTGACAGTCGTGTGTTCCTCTGACCTCGGCAGGCTGAGCTCCACAGTGAGATGGCTGGGTGATTGTCTAAACTCAGATCATTGTAACATTATTTTCTTTTTTGGAAAAAAGTGAAGGAAAGTGAACATGGAGAAGAAAAAGCAATGGAAAGATGAAAGCAAGTGATATAAGAAACAACTAGATAGAGAGAAACGATGTTCAAGAGAGATCCAGTTCTCTGAATTGTGATCCAAAGGATGTTAACTGAGGGGGATAAGTGAGGGAAGKGCAGGAGAGAGTGAAGAACAGGAGGCAAGGCATGGCAAGGAAGGGAGAGGGTGAAATACATGCAGAAAAAATTGAGCAAGCAGATCAAGTAACACAGATATGCAGCTCCTTTGCTGCACGTGGTTTAGCCTTTGCATTTGTGCGAGCTGCCTTGGGCTGAGCTGTGGCACAGCAGGGTGAGGCCGTGCCCTGTGGGTGCCCTGGGATGGCACAGCCGTGCTGGGATAATGCTGCTGCTGCTGCCCAGTGACTGTGGCACTGCGACAAACACTTGTCTGGGTGACAGGAGCATGGCCAGGGGTGCAGGGTGGGTGGCACAGCAGGGCCAGGACCTCGGGGCTGCTGGGCATCAGCAGAGGGGCTGAACCTTCCTGTGCTGAGCACAAGGACTCAGCCACACTGCCTGCTTTTTCAAATGCCATTTACATAAACATCTTGGAGCTGCATCAGTAGCACTTTACTGARGAGGTTAAATTCTGCCTTTTAGAAATGAAATCAGCTGTTCTGCTGCCAGCCACAGTTGTGCCCTCCTGTTTCCTCAAGAATAATGAAACAYTGGCATACTGACATATAAATTGTATTGCTGGAGAATGCATTATCTCTTTATTTATGACTGCATTGTGCCACAGAGTGCGGCGTCTTGTAATTGAGGGCTCTCTGATGAATTCATTGCATGCAAAGTCTGTGGAAATTATTAGCACAGCACATTTCCATAATTAAAATGTTTCCTATAGTATAGATTTGAAGGCTTCCGAACTGCCGTATGTTGCTTTAATGCAAGATTCTATGAAAATTTAAATACAAGCAGAACAAAGTTTTTATGCATAGAGAATGTTTTTCATTAGACCAGTTGTYATACCTGGGAAAAGCAATCAAATCATCTGGGTTCAGGGACACTTTTAGGTGATGGATGAAAGTTTTATTCATTGCTGCTCACAGAGAAATGGGCAGCATCTCACAGAGAACTATCTTTGCCTTGCCATCAGTGACATAACCAAATAATTAAGATTTAACCTATAATGAAGCATTCATAGGGACTTGGCTTGAGGGCACAAGTCTGACTGTTCCATTAAGAATTATTCTAAGGTAGTGTTAATATTTTGATGATGGGCAGCAAGTCAATAAATAAACATTTTCTTTAATCACATGTTTGCAGTTTTAGATAGCTCCTGAAGTTCTGCAAAACAGATTTTTTTTTAAATGCCCTCTGCCTTTCTCTCTTCAGTGAAAAATGTGCCAGAATATAGCAGATAACATGCAATAATACTTTAACTATTAGTTGTTGTCTGCAAAGTCCATTTGTCTTSTTAAGGCTGTCATTTGGCTACGTTACCCTTTCCGTAACCCTGGAAACAACTTCAAATACTGTGATATTTGAAAAGTCTAAAATATAACATGCTCTTAAGATGCTATGAGTGTTTTTTGAGACTCCCTGTACAAAGGAAGAAAAATGTCATTTCCCTTTACAGAGGGCATTAAGCAGTGATGGATGTGCATTGCTTTGTGAGAAAGCTGATCCTCACCGGTTGTAGGTGGCATGACAAATGATGCCAGAGGCACTGACAAGTTTTCCTCTTTACCTGCCCACCGAGTTCAGGAACACCTCTCCCAAAGTGTTACAGAAGGGGATTTTCAGGAGGTAATAAATAAATTTTGATCCCTCTGGTTAATACAGTTGAGGTCAAAGAGATTCTATCTGGAGCTATTTAAAACACTCTTAACCTGCAGACATACTGCTGTCAGTAGGGCTAAGTGCCTTATCAGGCTGAGGAGTGTGTACAACCCTTATGAAACTATTCTTAAGTATTCTGGTTACTATATTTAGYTCTGTCTCATAACAAGACAAAGAGCACTTAGCTAAATGTAGCCCTGCAGTGCTTAATCCGGTTAAGATTATTTTGTCCTTAGGTGTCTTCTGCTAAGWCTTTTTCTAGCTCACCATCCTGCTGCATCATGCAAAAAAAAAAAAAAGCTGCTCTGTGTGGCTGGGCCTGTGAATTCTTTTATGGCCATTTATTCTGTGAGGTCCTCGAAGGCTGCTGTTGGCAGAGGGCATCACATTCAGCAGGGACCTCATCCCTCTGCCATGGCAGCTCACATCAGCTGTGCTGCAGCGGGGTGTGGTAGCTCCTGCTGGAGAATCTGTGTTTCATTCCCCAGTTTACACTCAGTGAGCATTAGCAGGATTGCTGACTTTCTTAGGAACCACACAGCTTCCCTCAGCTTGCTGCTGTTCCAGCTGGGTGGGAGGCCAGCCGTGGGAATGAGGCAGAAAACCCACCAGGCTTCCTTGGAGCTGTTGGACAACCTGTGGGCAAAGGTTCTATAAAATACAGTTTMTATAAAATAATGCTTTGTACTCCAAGCTTGGGAAAAATCCTTTTCTTTAGCTGAATTTTTGCATACTYAAATCCATATAAAAGAACATTCCCTGAAAAATTGTGATAGATCATTCTGTGTATCCACAAGCATTTTTTATAATGTAACCCATTTCTTTAAAAAGAGTTTTCTTTATACCTACGTATCTCTGAACTTATTCCAAGTCACCAAAACTTCCGAAGGAGTCATTCTTCTAGAGAARAAACAGCTGTGTGATTTTGATAGAACAGCACTGAGGGATGAGCAGCAGTGATAAGTGCCTCAGCTCAATAGGGTGACAAATAAGATCACAGATTAGATCTCCTTTTGAACTGCAATAAAAGTGTGTCACTTGGTCGGTGCAGGACCACTGTGAGCACAGAGACAGAGCAGATATGCTAAGTTTGGGTTTGCAATGCAGGGGTTGTTTCCAGTTACAGCTCACTGGGGGTGTCAGGAGTTACACGGTATTTTCCCCGGATTTTGTGTGTCCCATCAGTAGCAAATCTTAAGGGGAGGACTTAAACACATCCACAGCTGGGTGTTTGTGGCTTGTGCTGCCTTTTGYTGGTCATGTTTGTCTTGAAGGAGGTTTTGGTTACAAGATTTGATAGATGAGGTAGGTACAGGTCAGACTTTTGGTTTTCACAGCGTACCAGGTAACCTGTCCCACTCTGGAAGAGCTCCAGCTGATCCTTGGTGGCTCCAAGCCAATAAAGCCATTCCATCCCCCTGGTGGGTCACACAGCTTTTTGGACATGAGAGGTTCATTGGCTTTCCTGGGCTGCTCTGTGGCAGCAGGTGGTGCTCMCAAATCCAGGAGCCTGAGACCTTGGTCCAGCTCCCATTGCTGGAGGCTTTGCTGAGCTTTCAGCACACTTGGGCATGTTTCTTGGCATGTTTCTTCATGATTTGTGGTGGTAGATTTTGTTCAGCATGAAGTGACTGCTGCTTTCTAGASTTAAGTCTTGCCTGCAACTCTGTTTTAACTGGACTTGCTTTTCCTTCCAGGATTAATTTTTCTCCGTCTCTATTTACATGGTGATAAGAAGTGCTAATCCCACTCTGTCAGTCTGGACTGATGAATCTGAGGAATAGAACAGGTAATTTCTAATTTGGCTTGTAGCTTTGGTGACTCAGTGAGAACTACTCCCTCTTTATGGAGTGCATTCATAACAAAAGAATTCATACAGTTTCTTCTGCTCAGGTCATCTGCAGGGAGGGAGATCCTTGCCCTGGAGCAGGGAGGGAGGGATAAAATTTTGTAGCTGTTACTGTGAGCAGYGTCTTTGACTTCCTGACAGTTGTGGGTGGTTCAATTTTATGTTGTTTTTATAGCTACCAAGTTGTTTGACTTGGAGTATCAAAACAGAGAAAATCTTTTGGATGTACCTATTGAAAAATGACCCTCRAGTTCTGGGCAGCATGGGAGGGTTTTGCAGAGAAAATGCTCTCTGGAGATGGAGGCAGGCTGGTGCTGRTGGAGGGATGGGTGGGATTTCCTCTTTGGAGGTGTCTGAGGGGGTGCAATCCAGCAGAGCTGACCTGGGCAGTGTGGCATGGAGTGACAGCAGCTGCCTCACCTGCACCWCCCTGGCTCCTTGTCCCTCAAACTCAGCCCATCTGAGTCACAGAAAGCAAATCACCAGAGAAGAARTTACCCTTGTGTTGAATTTTCCATCATTTGATGGGGCTCGAGAGTACTGTGTCCTTGCTGGGAGTTGTTMCCAACTGTTCTCCCTCCCTGGTCAGTGCCAGGTGAGGAAGTTCTRACTTGGAGCCCTGGGTGTGAATCCCAGCACAGAGCTGATGCTGAGGGAGCAGCTCACCAGCACAAGCTGCAGTCGTTGGCTACAGGATGCTTTGGGTGAAGCTGTCTATCACATCATCTCTTAGATACCCTGATAACACCCTGCTGTTGCCTAATACTAATCCTTTAGGGGATTAGCACAATTTCTTTCTTTCTCCTATGTCCTTGCATTGGGAAAGAAATCTCAGATGTGTTTCGAGCAGTGCAGTGCTTGAAATCAGTGAGTAACTGATGTGATTGCCCAAAACAGGACTGGCTGTGGTGCTGCCTGTGCACACACCAGGTCAGACCTCTCTCTGTTTTGCTCTCACATTTGCCAGGACATTGCTGATTCCTGTGCAGGGTTGAGTGCTTCAGCAGGATTCCCTGTCCTGGCTCAGAGGGAGTACAAAGGCAGGCTGAGGGGCTGCTGGCTTTTAGCTCTTTCCATTTAAAGTCACGTTGTTGTAGCTGGATGTTTGGGCATGTAGCAGTGCTTTCACTTCTCATGCTTCAGTATCTGACTGAAGCAAGGAAGGAATTTGGGAAAGGGAAGATTGAAACACCCAGGAGGTCTTAAAGGACAAACCAGTAGTCTCCATATTTTGACATTGTTAGCAAGATCAGGGAATATGTCTCAATAATTGCTTCTGTCTCTTCCTTGCAGAGCCCTGTGTTGTGTAAACGAACTGATGGATGAAGATGAGAAGGACAGGGCAAAGAGGTATGAGGGGATGCACTCCTGGAGGAGCATTGTAAATGCCATGTTGTCCAGTGCTTGATAAAGAATTTGACCCCACTGATGTCAGAGGCAAAGCCCCCACACAGATTGCAGGCTGGGTGTAGCTGACCACAAGCAGGGGAACTGCAGWCACTGTTTTCAGGCTTCTCATAGAGTTTGGCCACCCCTGCAATGGGTTATCTGTCTGAGAGTTCTTAAATCCCATTGCTGTGCCCTCAGGATCTCGTGCTATCCCATGGCTATTTATTATCTTGAAGCAGGACTCCTGACCTGTGATTTTATCAAGCAGTGCTGCCCACCTGGGGCAGAGTTCCCTCAGCAGCCCTGTTTTAGCACAGCTCTGAGTTATTCTCYTGTCACAGAAGCACTTGGCTCAGTTCTGTTTAGTCATTGTGCATGAGTGCCAAAACAGAGATGGCTGTGAACGTAAATGCTGGATCTGAGAACCTCCAAATGCCAACCTGAATATGAATGGAAATGCTTTCTGCACACCACCCTCAGCCTCTAGATCACAGGAAATGTGTATCATCACGAACAYGCTTGTAAAGCAAATTAATTGCTGCTGCAAGAGGTTGTTTGAAAGAACCTTATCTCAGATATGAGCATTGGAAAAATCACTTTGGAAGCAACTGGATGGATTTGYTTTCTCCTTCATTGTTTTTAATGGAGGGGAGGACCCTGATAAAACATACTTAAAWTACATCAGTGTGAACTGAAAACTAGTCTGTGGTTCTGCAGCCAGACTCTTAACATTCCCCGTTTCATATATCACAGCAGCAGATTTTCAAGACCACATACAAGATTTTATTCTGCAGTTCAGTTGCCTCTGCACAATTTTGTCTCTTGATAAGCTCCTTTTGCAAGTGCAAATCTGAAAAATCCCTCACATTTTGATGTTTATATGTGTGTGTACTAACTGCAAAACAAAAGTTCATAAAAATTRAGTGAGCAAAACATGAACATGCATGAACACACATTTCTCTTACATTTCCTTCTCTGGAGGAATTTCTCCCATAACACCTTCACTATCTCTGSTTTTGAAACAGTTCTAAATGCTAAAATGTACCTAAGGATATGGTCTTTCCCAAATGAACTCAAATATGTTTGCAGCCTCCAGGTGTTCCTTGCTGCTGGTGAGTTCAGTCTTGCTACAAGGCTGTAAGCACCAGCAAAATCCTCGTGTGCAAGCCCAATTTTAAACAAATTAACATWCCAGAAGAGTTTAGATTCTTGTACTTAAAGTGTTTTGCTGGGGCAGGGTGGTTTACCTCATCCTGGTTTGAGCTGTGCATCCTTCATCCTGCTCAACAACATTTACGTTTGTCACCCAGGGCATCACGCAACAAATCTGAGAAGAAGAGGAGAGACCAGTTCAATGTCCTCATTAAAGAGCTTTGCACGATGCTGCAGGGCCACGGGCACCCTCTCAAGATGGACAAGTCCACAATACTGCAGAGGACCATCGACTTCCTACAGAAACAGAAAGGTACTGCAGGGTGCTGCTCGGGATCAGTTTCTAGCTGGAAAATGAAAACTGTTTTTYCCCAAGCATCTCAGATGTCCAGAGAGGACGTGAGCCTGAGTGAGGGGCACAATAAGGTGCAGCATTTGGCCTCAGGAAATGGGCTGGAGCTGAATGCACTGCTGACCAGTTAAACACAGATTTGAAAAGATGCAGCACTGTGTGCTTTTTGCTGTGGAGACATCGTTTCCCTCCCTGGCCTCTGCATCCCCTGGCCTGCTTTGTGTACTCTCAAACAGAACTTGAGGAGGGAAAAGCTGAGGAACAGCACCCATTACAAAAATGAGGGGAAAGGCGATTCTCTGCCATGTTCCCAAGTCTCTTGGATTAGGAAATAACTGTGAGCCTGTCCTGCTGCCTGGGCACTGACAAGAGCCTTTCTGAAACAGCTCCAGAGTTGCAGACACCCTTTGCTCACTCTGAAATTAACCCACTGACCCTAAATTTTTATGGTTATCTTCAGACCACCCAAAATGTCTCCATTTCCCTTTCTTCATTTCTAATGCATTTGGATCGTGATGGYGTGGAAAATGACTGTTGCATGCAAGGCTTTGTGTGAAGAATGATCTGAGGATGATTCYTCTAAAAGCCTCTTTAAAGAAATCTAGTGTTACTTGAAAATGAAAAAAAAATCCAAGTGGCATGAGTCATGTTGCTTTTTTGATATTTTCTCTTTAAGAAATCACAGCACAGACAGAAGCCTGTGAGATTAGACAAGACTGGAAGCCTTCATTTCTTAGCAACGAGGAGTTCACCCAGTTGATGTTAGAGGTAAGAAGAAATTAAATAGATTAGTGAGAAATAATCAGTTCAGTGGAGTAGTCCAGGGATATAYAGTTCCTTTTCACCTGTAGGTCCCAGTGTTAATGATTTCTGCTCTGCTGGCACATAGAATACAAACCTGAGAGAGACCAATGTTGTCCTAAATGCTTTGCAGAGACAGAATTAAAAATATGATTGCTTCCCCTTAAAGATAAATGGCTTTTGGTTTAGAAACGAAGACTGATTTGGCCTGGTGAGAGAGGAAAAAGAGAATTTCCCTTCTCAGAAGAGATGCTAGAACTGGCAGTTTTAGGAAAAACTTGAAAGGACCTGAAAAAAGCAGAGCATCTCTSTTCCTCCCACATGCCATTAGCCAGGCAGCATCGCCTGTGCTGCCTCTGCAGCTGCTGCTGTGCACTGCTGTCCTCGTGATGAGAGCACTGCCTTTTGCTTCAATTGCCTTTAAGTGCATTCAGGAGAACAGCTCTGATACTCCCACCCCTAAAATGCTTTGCCTGTCTAAAAGCACCCCCCAAGCCTACATTTTCTCCCTTCTTAAGGATGTGGCTCTGGGTTTGTGCTGTCTCCAGCRGGGACATCTCCTGCCCTGCGTGGGCAGCCGCTGCTCTTTGCCCCACCAAAATAAGGGTGTATGCTGGGCTGAGCTGGGAGGTGCTGCTGTCTTAGTTACTCCTTTTCATCAGGATGTCATGACTCACCTCTCTGGAAAAGTCTGTTCATTCTTTCTGGGAATCTCTCTCACCAAACGAGCTAGCTCGTTCCAACTGAATCCAAACAAATACCCCCCCACAGACAGGAACTTGTGACTCTGGTAGAGCATTGAACAGTTTGCATCAAATCAGTGGGGTTTTTTTTTTCCAGAGCGTTTTGAGCAAAGGCAGAGTGTGGCAGTGAGGTGGGGGAGATGAGTTCTGCATCTYTGGCTCCCCGTAGCTAAGCTGCCAAGCACAGTGTCTTTAGAAGAGCTGGCTTTGTGCACAGTGCTGAGCAGCTGTTAAACCTCCCAGATCCTGAATTTAGACAAGAATAAGGACAGACAGTGGGTAAATGGTACAAGGAGATGTTGTGAAGAACARGGAGAACACAACACCCGAGGAGAAAAGCACAGGCAGTGACTTAAAAGGGACAGAGAGCTTTGACTCTGGGACAGAAGCCACTGTGAATTAGAAAGGGGAAACAAAACCAGCCTTAAAATTGTGTCACCAGTCTTACAAATCAGTGCTTAAGCAAAATAAGGCTTTAGATCTTCTCCATAAATTGCTAAAAATACATAATTGTGTAATTTTTCTGTCTCTGCTTATCCATCCATCCATCCACAATGCTGGGTTTGCCGTGATGATATCTAACCTCCTTATGCACTGAGTTTTGTTAACCATTGTGYAATTCAGAACACATAATGAAGTGACTGAAGTCACCAGGATTGTGTGGGTGTTGAAATTCTAAGCATCACTGTCTCGCTTCGTGTTAAATAAATACTCGCTGGGTGAAAAATACAAGTCAAGTTAATAATAATGAGAATGAAAAAAATAAGAATATAAAAAGAATGTTGGATTAGACAGCGTGTGTCATTTTTATTTTTCCACACTGAACTGTCATTTCCATGATTAATTTCTGCTAGATCTAAGCTGTTAGAAGCATCACTAAAGAATCAATTTGACTACAATATTTTAAGTTTTTCCCTTGCRTAAKTCTGWTTWTTTTTTCTTTYCTCTCTGCMTATTATCATTAGGCACTAGATGGCTTTCTCATTGCTCTTACCACTGATGGGATTATTATTTATGTATCTGATAGTGTTTCGTCTCTGCTAGGACACTTACCGGTAAGTTCTGACCATGCACTGCTCTGAAGGCTCCTTCCCCTCCTTAATCCAAATCCATCAGTGTGGGGCTGGGGATTGGTTTTGTCCAACCCAAGGGTGGGAGGTCAACCAACAAACTCTTGTGGAGTTTCTTGAGTTCCTGTGGATAAAGGACTCTCTCTCAGAGTGGGTGAGTTAACTTTAAAAAATCCCAGCTATCCAAAATCACTGTACTCATAGCTCATCACTTGGCTGCACATCTAAAGGCCTGGGAGGTGTTTGTCCCACCAGGCTTATGGAAAATCTTACAGTTGCAAAATCTGTGCAGAAGCTCTTCTTAGATAATATAAATATTATTTCAGGACTGAATCTATGCTCTTCTAATGACATTGGGTTTTTCTACTTGGAGCCCATAGTTTTTAGCAACAAACGTGTGGCCTCAGGTTTTCCAGGAGAACTTSTAGAAACCAGTTAGCTGTCAGGTGCAGAAATTTCAGCTTGGCSCCTCAAAAACATTTTTCTCTCTATCTGGTGCCAAGCATGAAGCTCCAAGGATGTCACATATGGGGGCAAATTTGGGCACGCAGTTACCTGAATATCCCGGTGTGCAAAGAAGAAATCCGTGCTGACATTTTGGTAGAACCCCTTTAGCCAGGATGTATGGGTTGATGATCACTGAATCACTGGCAGGTCAAGCTGATTTTGCCAGATGTTCAGCCTAGAAGACAAATGGAGGATGTGGGGAGSAGCTCTCCCTCTCCTGTGTCGTGCTTTCAGAGAAAAATATTTCACTTCTCATCATGTTGCATTCCTGTAGTACCAGGGTTTGTTCTCCAGCCTGYATCTGAACTGAAGGGCAGTCTCTGGGACTCATTCAGCCTTTTGCAAACAGACAGTAATCCTGGGGTGAAATAGCCTGAGGGTTGCATTCTGCCYGAGATCCATCTGCACATTGACTGGGTTTCCTTGTTTGAGGCGTCTGTGCCACACCAGCAGTGTCTGCTCTGCTGCATGTGGCTGTGTCAGGCTATACTGCTGAACATGACAAAGCATTCTTTTGTATCAGTCAGATTTGGTGGACCAAAATATATTAAACTTTCTGCCTGAGCGGGAGCAGAGCGAAGTGTACAAGCTCCTTTCTCCACATGTGCTCATGACGGATCCTRTTGCAGCTGATTTTCTCAATGGTAAGCTCTGCTCTTGTCTGTCGGYCAGGGAAGTTTGCCAAAGGTTAAACAGCTCCCAGGAGAGCCTGCACAGAGCTCTCCAGCTGTTTAATGCTCCTGCCTGCTACTTCTGTTCTGCTGCATTTGTGGGTTTTAGTGCAACAATCTCTCATGTTCCTGTGTGCTCCCACTGCTTRCTCTTTGATTTGGACAGTCTTTGTTTTATCATCTGCTTTGCCCCATAGAGTTGTCCTCAGTAGATGCTTTTCCTCAGGCTAGACTAAGCCTGAGAAAGGAGTCAGAKCTTAGGGGAAGAAGAGTTTGGAGAAATCCCAAACAGTTTTGGCAGGGCTGTTACTCCCTGGGAAGATTTTGTGTCTCAGGACACGAGAGAAGCCCTAACATAATTTAAGCACCAACCTTCCTATCTGAACACGTGTATCTGTGCTGCTGGCTGCTGTTCCACCCCAGAATGTCCCTTTCCCTCAGAAAATGTCCCGAAAACCAGAGCAGGCAGCAGCATCATCCCAGCACCAGCATTTCTCCAAGCCTGTGCTGGGCCCCCACCCCTTTCCCCACGGGTTTGGCAAGGCTTCTGAGCAGCACTGGGCTGCCCTCCCTGCTGCCCCAGAGCATCAGTGGGACCTGAGCAGCCTGGTGATGCTCTGAGCAGCCTGGTGATGCCCTGAGTAGCCTGCTGATGCCCTGAGCAGCCTGCTGATGCTCTGCCCTGGGGGTGGTTTCCCTCTGGCTGAAAGCAGTGTGGTCTGATCCGTAGAGTTCAAACTTGGGGCAGAAAACTGGGTTAGAGCTTGGCACGGTGCCCTCCACTGTTGTTGGCAAGGCTCAGGGTGAGGTCAGTGTTCTTTGGGTCTGGGTCCTCCTGAGCAGTGCCAGAGCAGACAACTGCAGTACCATGTAACTGCTTTGCATGAAATCCTGCATCCATGAAGCCAGGGAAAAATCCTGCTGACCAGTATAGCCAGGGCTTCACACCCAGCTCACTGGGGTGCCTGCAAAGACAAGAAAAAAGGGTGAGAATACATTTCCTTAAGCATAAACAGCTGATAATTGCTCCTAGTAGTTATATATTTACTTCTGGGTATCAAAAGCATCCCAGCAGGGTGTGCTCAGATAGCACAGCAGCAGGGTTGGTAGATAAATTAAATATGTGAGCAAGCTGAAGTGCAGAYTACTAATAACATTGTCTGTGTCTCCCTCTCTTTCTCTCATTTCAGCTGAAAAACAAATAGAGTTTTGTTGCCATTTAGCAAGAGGCAGCTTAGATCCAAATGAACCCCTGATGTATGAATATGTGAAATTTGTAGTGGATTTTAAATATTTTACTCATGGTAAGTTACATGGTAAGTTACCTTTGCCTCTCCATCTCTCTCCTTTAAACTGTGTTCATCTGTAGCATCCTAAAGGCTCTATTTCTGCCAAAAACACCCATAATTGTCAGGGCTGGAATGAACTGTGCATACRTTGGATATATTTTTCATGCAAAAGTGGTGGGGAGACTGTTGAACAGAGGAATGCACTCTGCTGCATGCTGTGCCTAAAGCTGATACCAGACTGAAAATACTTCTGTTTGACCCACTGCCAATTGTAAAGCAGCCTGCTTTTTCAAATAGCCAGTAAAATACAGTGTTCTGTTTACCTTGGGGTGGTGAAATGACACTTTGCAGAGATTAAGTAGTCTGAGGTGCCTGTAAAATCCTGAATCTTGCTAATGTTGGCCTGGAGAAAGGCTGACCAGGAGACTGCAGCTGCACTCTGAGCTGCTCAGAGCTTGCAAAACCCCSCTGTGAGCCAGGGACAGGTGGCTGTGGCTGTGTAACTTGGAGCCTAAAGGGTCATGGTTTAAATAACATCAGCGCGGATCGGTGCAGCATCACTCTGTGCGGAGGAGGAGTTTGTTGCTCGGGTTTCCTCCATCACTATACCTGTCTTGACATGAAAAGAAAGCTCTCCTTCCTCTTCTCCTTAAATAAATTGTCTGTTTCTAGTGCCTACACCCTCCTGTAATGGCTTTGAGTCAGCTATTGCACGAGCTTTCAGGTCAGCCACGGAGGAGCAGATCTGCCTGGTAGCGACTGTTCGTCTGGTCACACCACAGTTCCTAAAGGTGAGCACAGAGCAGGGACAGGGACAGCTTGTGCCAGGGTCACCAGAGGACAGGGGACACTGCTGCCATTGGGAGGTGACACCAGGGTGTCCTTTGGAAAGGGATAAAGCGGGAGCTGCTTTTGAGAAGAGGTGGGTTTGCAGTGGGGGATCCCGGAGGGGGCAGGACATGGGGACCAGCTACATCACCTGGAAACCTGCAGCCTTCAAAGACATGCATCCACCACTCCTTTGGGTTCCATCTGCATCTTGAAACACATCAAAAACGTGTTTCATGGTTTGTTCCTGCCGTCTGTAAATGTCCCGTGGCACTGTGCACTGATGACAGGGAGAGCAGCTCCGGCTGCTGCTTGCTTAAGAGGGCATTAGCCACTCAGTTAGAGGCTGGACCTGGAGCTGTCATCCATATTCAAACACCAGCATTTGCAACAAGCTGGGCAATTTTGCCTACAGAGTGCAAGACAAGACTCTTAGGCTATTTATCCTAGCTCTGAAATTCAGGTCAAGGTAAACTATTCAGCCATTTTTTCTCAGCTTATGCATCTGTAAAAGAAGTCTTAAACGTTCCTTAGAGGAAAATAAGTCAAGTGCTTTGAAAGCATTGTATTTTGTCGTGGTTTATTATATCAACAARATGCAACCTGGTTTTGATAGCAGGCTCCTTTTGTTGTTTCATAGAGTTGGATGTCTGAATGTGCCCATTGTTTTGCAGGAGCTCTGCAATGTTGAGGAGCCGTGTGAAGAATTTACATCAAGGCATAGTTTAGAATGGAAGTTTTTATTCTTGGACCACAGGTAAGAGATTTGGGTTTAGTCACTGAAGAAGGACTATAGTTTTAAATAGAAAACTTTGTGTACCTATTGCCTGAGATCCCAAATGGAATGGTTATTATGAAATGCAACTTCCTAAGTAGCAGTACTCTGAATTTAGGCATCCTTAAGAGCTCTACTATTTTCCATATTTTAGGCCAGTGAGAAACCATGGAAAATGTCTARAAAAATGTCTAAYCTTCTAACCAAGATAAAAARTCACTGAAAATGAGCGTTGTGGGTYGCATTCTCTGCATTGGTTTAGCTCCTCTATTTTGCAACTACAGCTTCCAGGAATCCTCCTAAATCTTTTGCTGTGTCTATAAACTTTKGATTTTTCACTTTGAGGAATGACAGAATTTGTAAAAATAAAATAAAAAACAGTGGATTTTATAATTTAATTGCAGATTAATTTTTGAATGTGCGATATAGTGGGCCCAAATTCAACTTGGTGAATGAAACAGACTGGAACCACTTTATTAAGCTGATTAATTTAGGATTCATTTTCTTCAAAAGAAGCTGGAGGATTTTATTCACTTTTTTACTTCTCTGTGTTTGACATATGTGCATACGCATGTTGCAAAATCCTGCCATTTTCATTATCCCTCCTCTCGTGAGCTGTGCAAAGGTAGTCATTACTAAAAACAGAAGACCAGTAAATAAATGCCCTTACGAAAAAATATATCAGTGAGGAAAAAAAAAATCTAAACATCATCTGCACACTTAGAGCAAGAAAGAGAGAGAGAGCAAATATAAATGAATAAAAACTGTGATTTATCTAGAACACAAGGTGTGTGCCCCCCACATCATACCTTGAAGCATGGAGGAACTGACCCTGCCACAGCTCTACAGTTGATTATGTTCTGTTTGCGACAGTCAGATCATTATTCATTCAGATGAGATCTTACTGGAGAGGCTTTGTTAGACTTTAATTGGCCTGACTGATAATGCACATTTTCAGAATCAGCTGAATAATGTTCAGATTAGTAAAAGAGCCCCAAGCCCCTCACTTCACTGATGATGTGAGCTGCTTTTCCACAGGGCTGTCCCAGCAGCTCCTGTGAAAAAAAGTGAGTAGGAGCTACTTTGAAACTTGTCAAAGAGTCTTTTGATGAACGTGGGTTATGACTCAGAGAGGAATCTCTGTGCTGGGTGCTTGCAGACGCTCCAGTCCCACTGATATCCCCGGCAAGGAAACCATTGTTACTGAGAGGAAATCAAGCTGATGCTGAGGCAGAGTTTGTGACAGCCCCAGATGCAAGCAGTGAGCTCAGACCCAAGAATGAGCAGGAGATCACGGGAGTTGTCTCATTTAATCACTGATRCGAAGCTCTCCCCAGTGCTGTCTGCAGCACCCTGGGAAATGTTGCTATTTTGGTTTTTTTGTGTCACCACTGGGTGCCTGACAGTGAGGTGTGCCATCAGCAGGGGCAGAGGGTACCCAGCAGGAGCTGGAATCAGGACCTTTGCTATCATGATCACAATTTAAGTCAGAGAAAAGATTGATGCAATGAAAGCACTCCATAGATCTGGATAAACATGAGAAAAATAGGAGAAGTCTGTATTCTGTGTCTATGTGTAAATATGTGTAGAGAAAGAAAAGCCCATCAACTTTGATAATGATCTGTTTCTCTTCTGCACTGTGGTACTGTTCTTATCTTCCCTTCATTTATTAAAAGATTTCACCCAAAAGGCTCTCTGAAGTCTGTGCATTCCCATTTGCACAGCGAGTTGCAGGTCTCAGGGCTGGAACTTAAGCTAACAAGAYACTTTCAAATTGTTCCACAAGGCAGCTCCTTGTCAAATGACTGATGAGGAACATTTTGTGGTTGCTTTCTGCTGTGAAGAGCTCTGGTGAGATTCAGGAAAATATAATACTTTCCTGATCAGCTTAATTGTTTATCTGATGTGCATCTGAAAGACTTTATTGTCTTGAATATAAGCATGTTATTAAAAATAGGAGAAACAGTGATGCATTCTTCCAAAAGAGACAGCAAGGAAGGACACTTTAATAAATACACGTATTATCATCATTAACAGAAATCTGGGTCACATGARGAAAAGGGACAGAGTGCTCTGTGAAAAGTTACTTGAATAAATAAAGCTGTATTGTGGCAGAGACCACGGTGTGCTCAGCACTCTCTGTTTAGAGATTTGCTCCCRATGGGGGTCTGGCTCTCCCAGCTGACCCCTCTGGGACTGGGGAGCTCCTGCTCACACTGTGGCCCTTCTGGGACTGCTCTTGGGCAGATCTCAGATCCTCCTTTTGCCCCGACTTGGTGCCACCCTGCCCGAGCTGGGAAGAGGAGGTTACAGAGCTGCCTGAGTGAGCCATGCCCAGTGTCTCTGCAGAGGGCAARTGTGGGGCTGGGTGGCTCAGCAAGAGAAAACTTCACTCAGTAATAACCAAGAAACTCAGGACTGATCCATCAAAYCCACATGTACTACACTGAAATAACTCTTTGCTCACAGTCTTGGCCACTTTATGGCTTTCTTCCTTAAGWGCACTCAGCACACCAGGAGAGGCAGGTTTGATGGGCACCATCCCCTTCAGCCTGCCCCCTTTTGAGTCATTTACCATTTTGTCCTATTTCTCAGGAACTGAACTTGGCAGGTGAACCTCACACTATCAGCACATCCTGCAGCCAGAACAAACAGGTGCAGCCACACCAGCACCAGTCCTGCCTCACTGGGTGCTTGAGCTGGGCAGGCAGGAGTGTACCTGAGCACTGGGGACACAGAGTGACACTGGGGACACAGAGTGACATGCTAAAGACATTTCAGTGTTGTTTCATTATCCTGAGCTATCAGGCTCCAGTGAAGGCTTAAAATAAAACAGTGTATTTTGCCTGGAAAATGGAAAATCTCGAATTGACAACACACTAGGCACATTGCAATGATTTACCTCACTATCTAAATATTTCATCAATTCCTTCTCTAGCAGCCAAAGCAAAACCAGCCCTAAACCAGCCCCATGCCTATCACTATCTATGACCAGCACAGAAAGTTTTGCTGGCTGTGGTTTCCCAAGCTTTTCCAGGGGAGCAATTACTTTTTCCCAAGCTGGTCCTGACACACACCACAGCTTCCCACTTACTCTTTCTCCTGCAGTCACTACCCAGATGACATTTACATCCAGCCTACTGGGTAATTTTACTCCAGCTCCAAGCTGTTAGCRCAGGATCAGCCGTAGCGTTTCTCAAGCTGTGTCTCACAAGCACCCTTAATGAATTGAGTCACTCACATACGTACATGCCTTTCTCTACACCCACGTAATGAATAGGCTGGGAAACAGTAAACACACACCTTTTCATTTTCTCACTTTTTACCTCTCCCTCGCTGTGGTTTTGTTTATATATGGGAATACATCACTGCCTATAGGAAAAACCACTCCAGGTTTCCCTGCCAAGGGARTGAATGAGGTGTTTGTTGTTGGTATCACACCTTATCTGCAATGATGTCAAAGTGTCAAGTGTTGTGCTCACTCCCTGCCCTTTGCTTCCTTTCTAGGGCTCCGCCTATTATAGGATATTTACCCTTTGAGGTTCTGGGAACGTCAGGGTATGATTACTACCACGCAGATGACCTGGAGCTTCTTGCTAGGTGCCATGAACACTGTAAGTTGCCCTCCCTCTGCAGCGTGTCTGTCTCTAATCTTGTCACTTGTACAAAACCTTTTACTGTCACAGCTGACATTTACCTGGGAGGTTGAAATCTTGCAGAATTCATTCAGATCAGGARCTGTTTGTGTGGGTTTCCTCAACTGGCAGATGCCTTGTTTGAACACAAGTTGTCTCAGAGTGAAATGGGATTAATAGATTGGGAGTCAGAATTTTTCCCCCTCTTCCCTRCAAGTTTTGTTGATTTGTCATAGTTCATGGGGTCTTGCCATTCCCCTGGGCTCCAAAGTCAGCCAGGAGGCTCAGCTCACCAAAACACCTTCTAAGAGCATCATTTGGATCTTCTGCCTGTGCAATTAGATTGTGAACCTCACTTGCAATTAGTTGTGAACCTCACTTACTCATTAGTAAAATGCTTCTGGAGATTCAGAATTATTTTAAATGCAAAAGTACCAAATACAGTTCACCTGTGGGTGAAGATGGCTCATGTTTGGTCGACCTGAAAGGAAAGCCACAAAGCAGAAGAGTCAAGTTCAGGCTGATGTGTGAGCTCCAAAGAAGGTCCATGAAGTTCATTTTTGTTCAAGGAGAAGTAGTGTGACCTGTGGGAGCCTCAGCAGAAGGAGCACTCCTGTGAGTTCCACAGCAGTGCAGTGCTGAAAAGCCACATCCTGCTGAGCACTGAGCTAACGAGAGAAAGGGCAGAAAGTGTCTGCTGATGTGTTCTACTTTTAATCAGTGTGCAGTTCCTACCAGATGTGAGATGCTTTATCCCCAGGACCCTGRTTTTTCCATTTTATTGGGTGCACTTCAGACTGAGGTGCTGAGCCAGAATTCTGTGTGTCCTGCAGTGGTTTTGCATTGTCAAGCACTGCAATGAAAAAGAACTAAATACTTTGTAAAAGGCATCCAGGTAATCAGGTGTTTTGCTTAGAAATATTACTTACAGGTTCCTGTGGGGACACTGTCTGTCTCTCTGCTGTCTCCACTTGAATGGAGAATGTTTTGTCAAAAGGAAACAAGGACACCCCAGAGAGTGGAGCAGGCAGGATGCTGTAATTGCTCTGAGATGCAGAGCTGCACAATGCTGGCACCGAGAAACTCCACCAAGRAGCCCCACAGTCCACTGGAGACAACCCATCTCTGAGCTGCAAACCACTCTCATCTCTGCCATGAACCCTCTACCACTCAGATGTCTGAGGAGCTGAGGGACTTAGAAGAAAATGGGGAAAAATACTTCTCTGAATGTGAAGTTTCCCTCTCCATATCCCAGCTGGCTTTTCTGCCCTGTCCAGGCAAAGCACTGGCACAGCAGCTGCCAGGGAAAYGGGCAGCCTGGCTGAGCACATGGARGAAGCTGTGACAGGGGACACACAAGTTGTGTCAAGTGCAGCAGGAATGTAGACGGGAATATTAACAGAGTATTTAAATTGCTCTCAAGTTCAGTCCTGCTTAGCTTAAGCTGTTTGCTTAAAAGACCATTCAGACAGATTTTTCTGGACATAGCCTGGTAATACATACCAGGTCTGGTGTAGGCCARGTCTTAAAAAAACCTCTCAATTAAACTTCTAAAACTCCACTGTCTTCTTCTTCTGTGACATTTTTAGGATTCTTACTTCACACCTTTAGTCTCTGAAAGGCACTCTCATGTACTTRTGAAAGGCAAATAATTTGTTTAATTAATGTTATTTATGCTTATTTCAGGGGAGCCCATGCACAAGTTATAAGAATGTACTTATATACTTATATATATATACTTGTACTATATAGTTATATACTTATATCAGTTGTAAAAGCAATCTCAAAATTGCAAAGGGCATCCCTGAAAGTCAGCAGTAAAGATTCCAAACAAAAGCTGAGTRCGTGGTTGTGTATCATCTGTTGTGTCCAAAGCTCAAGAGCCATTCTAGCACTGCCCCAGGCTGGGACAGGACTGTAGGACTGAATATGAGTTTTCCTAATCACTTTTGCACCATTAAATMCCTATTTGCTGTAAATTGCTTTCTCTTTTTGTTAACCAGTGATGCAGTTTGGAAAAGGAAAGTCCTGTTACTATCGKTTCCTGACCAAAGGGCAGCAGTGGATCTGGCTGCAGACACACTACTACATCACCTACCACCAGTGGAACTCCAAGCCCGAGTTCATCGTTTGCACTCACCTGGTAGTTAGGTAGGAAGCACCAAACATTTCACAGTGTTTGTCATGTTTCAGTGTTCAGTCATTGCTTTTTCTAGCTCTGTTTCGTGTTAACTAAATATTTAACTTTGTCTACTGACACACTAAAATGATATGTAGTTCCATGAAAACTATTCTGACAGGGAACATGTGTTTTATTTTCCTTTATTTTCCTTTTTTTTTTTTTTTTCTTTTTGGCAGCTGGGCTAAAAGCCTGGAAGCCACCTTAGGCCAAACCTACCAATGTGTTACATTCCCCTTTTATCCCTAGTGATGACATGGCCACAGAAAGAATTAAAGCTGTTGGGAATCAGACAGCTTTCTGGGTATAAATGAGATCATATAACTCCTACAAAACCTTTTGATCAGAGCTTTAAATATTTATGGCTGGAAGTTATCTGCTGGCTGGCTGGCCTTATTCCTCACCCAAACCCAGCCCTGGATCCCCCCCTAGTGGGAAGCTGCTTGTGCTGAGCTGCAGCCCGTGCTGGAAGGCAGTGCATGTGTGGGATGCTCTGTGAATGCACCTTCTGGAGGGGAATCTGCTGGATTACTGCTGCCATCTCAAAAATGACTGTGTTAAGAGTGAGAAGATATTTACTGAAGGGCCTGAGCAAATAGACACATGCTGGTTTGCTCTATCAGCTTGAGTAAACTGATTGCTCTCTGTGTATTTCTTTACTGTCAGGAATCTTTTTTTTTCTGGTCCCCCTCTTTTTMTGTCAAGCATCTGGAAGAGCAAGAACTAGTAAATGTGAAGTGTATGGATCTGTTGRAGTGAGTCAGAGGAGGGCCATGAAGATGCTCAGAGGGCTGGAGCACCTCTCCTGTGAAGGCAGGCAGAGAGAKCTGGGGCTGTTCAGCCTGGAGAAGAGAAGGCTCCTGAGACCTTAGAGCCTCTTCCAGCTCCTAAAGGAGCTCCAAGAGAGMTGGAGAGGGACTTTGYACAAKGACATGGAGTGATGGGACAAGGGGGAATGGCTTTAAACTGTCACAGATGGGTTTAGGTTAGATCTTAGMGAGAAGCTCTTCCCTCTGAGGGTGGTGAGGCACTGGAACCCAGAGAGGCTGTGGCTGCCCCATCCCTGGAACTGTTCATGGCCAGGCTGGATGGGGTCCTGAATAACCTGGTCCAGTGGAAGGTGTTCTGCCCACAGCAGAGGGGATGGAACTAGATCATCAGGTCCCTTTCAATCCAAATTCTGTTGATTCTGATTCTGTGATCTGTGATATAAACTGCWTATGAAGTGTTATCATAAGCAAATGTTACACAGAGAAATTGCTTCTCACTTGTGTTGCTCCTGCCATCCTTCAGGGAATTCAGATTCACTTTGAGGTCTGAATTTATTGTGCATGAACTTGTTTCTTCTTTCTGCTTCCAGTGCCTCTTAAACATAATGATGTAGTCCTAAATAGACTTTGAGGTTCAGTTCTGCCACAGTTAAGGTTTAAAATATGTTCCTGAAGCACACAAGTTAAAATATTGTTCCAGGAAAGCTCGCTGTCACGATGATATAAAGTGAGGTTGGTTCAGCAACTTCTCTCACCTCCCACAAAGGTTGTGGTTCATTAATATTTCATCGCCCTAAAGTCTGACACCTCTCAATGCCCACGATCCATGAGTACTCAGAGAGTCTTTGAAACATCCTCTCCGATTTATCCCAATGGTGAATCATGTGGCATTTGTTACTGTAAATATTTTATTRTATAAGAGGGGAGAAGAGCAAGGAAAGCAAATATATACTTTTAGAGGCACACTGTAGGGATTCCTGCACTTCACATTGCATCTGGGTAGTGGCTGGTTTGTGTTTGGAGCTTTCACTGGAGTGCAGGGTGTTAACTCTGATGCAGCACATTGTGTGCACCCTCAGAAGGARGGGCCTGACCATGCCCTGCCCAAGGCACTGGTGTAGGAATCACTGAGCTACCATGCAAAAAAACTGATTCATCATCATCAGGTTAGAAAATGAATGTGCACTTGTTATGGCAGTTTACCTGTGCGGACGCTGTAGGATCATTTTTTGGGTTTTGTTTTGTTTTTTTTTTTAGTTATGCAGAAGTTCGGGCTGAGAGAAGGCGAGATCTTGGCCTTGAAGAGTCATCAATTGAACTGGCATCCTCTTCTCTAAAGGTACCATTTCCCTTCAGAGCTGAACGAGAAGGTGTTGAAACCAAACTATCAGCTTACCAATCTTAGGAATATGCCTGTCCCTCTCAGGAGATGTTTGCTGTAGGTCCTCCTGGGGCTGCAGTTGACATCMCCCTGCTCCATGTCCCCTCCCTGTCATCTCTCTCCATTTTATGTCAATGATATAAAACCATTCCCCAGGCAGCCCCCTCTGCCACCTTCATTCATTCCCTCTGCCACCTCTCCCYCATGTGCCACAGCCACCAGCTGTGACATCCCTGAAGAAACCACGCAGAAAGAGGCTGGTACAAAAGCACATTTCCTGTCACCCAGGGCTTTGTGGGCAGGGGAGCAGGAGGGTGGCACTCCAGAGTGCAGGTGAC